GTTGATGAGGGCCACAAGCTCTTCTCGTAAGCCATCATTACCAATCTCCAAGCTCGACAAACGAGCATTCATACCTTGAAAATCGCTTTCTACTTGGGCGAAGTTAGCTCCCAAATCCTCGATGGCAGTGATGTCTTCCGCCACCTTCCCTTCCACTCTAGAGACTCGCCTCTCTAGAGACTTGAGAGGATCACGAGTGCTCGACTTGTCTTTTGGCCTCCCGGTTGGGGTAGGCTCTCTGCCACGATGCTTCTCACCGTCGTCATTGACTTCTGATCCCGACATTTTTGGTGAGGTTCTTCCTTTCCTTCTGGCTCTAGGTTCAACTTTGCTAGCACAAAGCTGAACCAGGCTCTGATACCACTTGTCACGACCTTACTCTCGATCGTGCGGCCCTAGCTCTCAATTCCGTTAGAGCGCTAGGCAGCCTTTCTCTCAAACTCACAAGCAAGCAAAGAACAAGAACAAAGACAGAGGATTGGGAGAACTCTCTAGTCTGTATTACTCTCAAAAATGATGGAATGAGTTACAAGTGAGGGAGATGGCTCCTTATATAGGCCTCTCCTCATACAAGGCATCAATGCCCCTCATAATGATCCCTCTACATCAATACACCCCATAAAGTCCCCCCATAATGCACTCTAATAATGCTACCCATAATGTAGCCCATAAGTGCACCATTAAGCTCTCATTTAGGTGGAGAATCCTAGGAGCATCTCTATGCTACTAGTCTTCCATGCATGCCACATGTGCAGCCGCCTTGTTGTCACCTTGCTGGCGCCATGTCATCTGCCACATGTGACAGTACCCACTTCTAAGAGATGTGTACAAGGTTATACACCGGTTCATATTGCAGTTTCTATTATTTATGTTTGTTAAACGTTGAATTTAATTTCATACCTCAACAGAGTGATATTGAAGCGACAGATTTGAAATACAAAGTTCTGATTTGCATATTCAATAGGATTGTTCTATGGCAAGTTTGGTATTTTCTTGATCATGTTTCTTTTTAGTTGAAGCGACGGATTTAAAATACAAAGTTCTGATTTGCATATTCAATAGGATTGTTCTATGGCAAGCTTGGTATTTTCTTGATCATGTTTCTTTTTAGTTTCCATTTTCACTGCATACCATTAACTCATTTCGTTTTACCTTATTCGCCAGTTTATAGAATTTATGTTGGGTGCATGCAAAGTTATAGAAGAACTGATATCCAAGTCATGTCATAGGTAAATCCAAATCATAGAAGAGCTGATTAGTTCACAACACTTAGTGGTTTGTTTGGGAGAATCAGTTTCATGTGCGTACAGATATGCTTGCAAGCTGAATTAGGCTATGCGTCTTACGTATTGATAGGATTTGGGTAGATTTATTTCCCTCGAAGACTGCCATGAAAACATGTTTGTCGAGTTGAACACATACAACTATTGTGGTTATTGAAGCAATGCAGCTTCATGCATCTCAAGAGGATTGACAAGTAAGCAGCATCTCTGACTGTACTATATACAAGTATCTGATTTTTGAAATGATTAACAAACGTCTCTACATTTGTGTATATGTTAAGTTGTATTTTATGTCAATAATAGTTCAATTATATCTAATTTACTTACTATGTTTGTGTAGTTATCAACCTAACTCTTTTCATATATGGAATGAATAAAAGCTTTCTTTATGTTGATAAATGCTATTGATTCAGCCAACGATCTTAAAAGTCTTTGAAGTTGCTCGATATTAAAGCAAATTACCCAAGGTTTCCTTCATAACCTTGATTTTTGCTCAATGAATTTGCTTATACAAATAAGTTTGGCACGAACCATTCCATTAGTTACTCTTGATCTGTGTAGAATGGAAAACTAACTTAAGAATTCTCATGTGGATGTCTGGTGATGTTTTGTTACACAATCTGAGCTGCATCTTGATGAGATAATGAAGTATCCTAGAAGGGTAAAAAAAACATCTATGGTAAAGTTTCTTAACAGTCTGGATTTTATTCATGCAGTCCCTTCTTCATATGTAATCGATGAGGTACGTAAATCTTGAGTTTCAGCTGTCAAATTGAAAACAAATGTGGTTTTCCTAACATGATCTTGATTAGTGATCTTAAGTAACTAGACGTAACTTTTTGGTCATTGGGAGAAATAAAAGTGGGAGGTCAAGCGGTTGTAAGCTTGATCGTTGTTTTGTTGTCAGTTAAAGAAGAGTGTGATGAATCTTCTCTTACTAAGTCTGATGTTTATGTACAATAGGAATTTGATCACTAATCAATACACAGTGGCCTTGCGCCCTTGCCTAGGGGCTAAGGAGATTGAGTTTCTTACTGTTTTTAGATCATGGTGACCTTGGCTAGGGAGATTGGGTTTCTTATTGTTTTAAGTTTATTGTGTATATAGGACTCTAACTTAATAACCTTTCTTTCAATGATGTGCTTAGTTAACTAACTCCTCTCGCTATCCTTGGAAAGCAATCATAATGTTACTTCATGTTGTATAGGCATGTTTCAGCGTTGAATTCTATCTCAACTCTTACTTTCATCTACCCGCTCTTAAATATGCATAGGATGAGTGGAAAGACACTCCACCAGTTGCTTTCAACGTACATCCTCATAAAATCATTTTGCTTTTGTTTAGGATTTACATTTGAATATATTTTGAATTCCTTACAATTACAAAAACTACACAACTGATATTTCCATTTTAAGTTTTAACTGCAGCCAAAGATTGCATTGCAAACTTCTCAAACAACACCATTGTTCCCAATGTTTCTAACAGATGATATTCACACATTCGAGTCACACCTTGCTAATGAGTAATTAGATGATACGGCTCTCCATCATTTTTGTTCCGTTATCATTTTAGTTATTATTATATTAACGAGATAATGTTTGATTAATTGATTTTCATAGATTTTTGCCTTAAGAATACAACAATTCATTTGCTGAAGTTGGTTCAAACTTCATTAAGTTCTCTTTTGGGCATTATATAAAGTGGATCATACAAGTAAAGGGTTGCAAATATTCTTCCCGACGCATAGCGCGGGCTAGATAACTAGTATTGTTATAAAAACTAATCACATCAAATTATTTATATTATTAGAACTCTATTACCATAAAAACTATTAGCATCCATAAATGATTCATACTATTATGGGAATGTAAATAATGTTATTTTTCTTTTCGTGTGCAAGTTGGGTGGAAGGCAGGTCGAATTTTGTGCAAACTGATACCCAACCCGTCAGCTCCAAAAAATGGGTTTACATGCAGCCGACACAAAATGCATCAATGAAGAATTTTCTTGCTTTGATTGAGTTGGGTACTACCGGGTGCTGGTCAAAATTTTCATTCCTATACATATCATTGGCCTTTTCTTCAAAACCAGGAATAAGAAACTATAACGGAGGTTGTACAAGATAATTTAAAGGTAGGGTATTTTGTGTTTCGATCGTAATTTAACCATGGTTCAACAATATCATTTCTATAAAAATCAACTAAAGTTTCGATAAATAGTTTTTTCGATCAAACCATTGATACCATATAGTTTACCAAACATTGTTCAAAACAATACATTCTTTTTTTTGTGTTTTTTTTTACAAGCTTTTTTTGGTGTTTTTGATAACGTACCAAGTTACACAATCATTCCAGTAGTTTTGGAGGATAATTATGAAGCATTCACTAATGTGGGAACATGGCTGGGTAGCTGACTTTTTAGATTAGCTAACTAATCACAATTAAAGGGATCTTGAACTTATATGATCTTGAGCACTGGATTTCTACACTTCACCAGATGTTTCTTCTTTACGGTGCATTTATTCCTATATATAGTCGATACCATTTTTGCTAATGGTCCATCATTGCTGCGATTGGTAGGGCTCATGATAGCATATAGTCGATGACGACGTGAACCTTTCTCCTCGTGTCTTGGAGGACGTTCTGCCATTGCACAATGCTAGCCACATGCAGCACATTCTGCAGCCAGCCTGGCGCCCAAGCAATCTCCTGACATACCGAGGTACGGTGTTTCCTCGAGTCGACATCGCTGCTTTGTAAAGTTATGGCAAACCAAGAGCAGTAATAATTTGCCACGACAATGGACCAGACAACAATAGGGGTAATCCCAATTTACGAGTGGAAAGATATTCTCTTAACAACCAAAAGATAGTTGCACATTGTGGAGGATGTGATTGTCATTTGTACATAATTTGTGCTGTCGGATGTAATTTGGTGAGACAACTTTCTTTCTTAGGTCATTGTCGAGAGTATTAAAGGCCGGCCCTGTAGCCAAAACCTAATTTGGCATTATAGCAGCCTTTGTTCTCTTCCGCGATAGTGAAAACCATATTTGATATTTAGCTCTCTGTAAACTAGTTCCGATATTTGGGGTAATTATCGTATTTATTTACCTTTTGCGATCAAACGACTTTTTACACATGTCTCCAACAAATCGTACGTGTTAGGATCATGTTCCCCTTTTGCCCGAGCATGAATTTTATCTCTAGCTAATGTCATGCTAGTAATTGCTCTTAGCTTAGGTTCATGTTATGGGCTTTTGGCCATTCTTATGGTTATACTCATGTTGTATGTACGTCGGTTCACCATTGATACCCAGATGGCATTTTGCTCTACTCCACAAACAGCAAATGGATCCTTGTTTCTCTTGAGTCAGGTAACACATTTCATAGACTTATCATGACACTGCGTAGTGATCATCATATCTTTCCCAATAGTGGACTGATGAATCATATCTTTCACTGTCAAATTCCTCTAATGGTTTAATCTGATTCCTTACCAAAAGACTATGTATGAGGCACCAAGCATAATATCAACAAGGCTGAGAGCGCCTGAGCCACTTTAAATCCGTATCTCTCTCTCTCTTTTTAATTTACATTTCAGATTTAATGTAAGACGGTCCAGAGAGATGATCAAAGTTAAAACACTGATATTTAGTCTAATCCGAAAATGTTCAACACTTCATATACGTATATACGCAATTACCAAAGTTAGTGCTCTAAGTCTTTTAGCAATACAGGACAGCTGTGCTGGTCCAATGCCAAGTCAATATCTCAACAATATATGTCAGCGAAATAATGGAGTCGTCCCATTCCTGTGTCCTAATCCCATGTTTTTGTTTTAGGAATCTTCTTGGATCCAACACCATAAGTAAAAATTCCTTTTTTTATACATAAACACAAAAACCATGAATCGGGTAGGACATGTCCCCGTTAGTGACACATATGTGGTACCAGTACTATAAAAAATGGTAACATTACTAAACTACTGTTAAACGTGTCCGTGAGACAGTTCTCTTTAAAAACACCAAAAAAATAGAGAAAGAGCGAATCCAGAGTTCACTGTAGTGAAAGAGTGACTGAAGAAACATGGTGAGGACACCTTCCTGTGACGAAAATGGAATGAGGAAAGGGACCTGGACTGCTGAGGAAGACAGGAAACTGATTGCCTATGTCACTCGCTACGGCTGCTGGAACTGGCTCCAAATCCCCAAATTCGCAGGTACTCCACGATTTCTCTTACCTTTTTTCAATCAGAAATCAAGTGGGTTTCATTCAAAATCAATTGGGTTTTGATGATGAACAATTTTGTTCTGACCAAAATTTGATTGAACTTTTGCAGGGCTGAAAAGGTGCGGGAAGAGTTGCAGGCTTCGGTGGATGAATCACCTACAGCCCAATGTGAAGAGAGGGGATTACAGTGCAGAAGAAGAAGAAACCATCCTCAACCTCCACTCAACCCTTGGAAACAGGTAATGACGAATCACATTATTTTTCCATGCACGTATAATATGAAAGGAAAAAAAGGGAAAATTCTTAACTACAACCTTCCTTGGATGCAGAAGCTACAACTAGTCGCATGTTAGTTTTTTATTAGTACGTTCATCTTTTTTTTTTATTTTAATCCTCGATTTATTTAACATAATTAAGAAACTTAAATATTAAAAAAAAAAAATCAGCGGAGCTAAGGATTTTCCAAAAAGAGGGAAAGTATTAATCAATCGATTTGATGCTGTAGATGGTCAGCAATTGCGGCCCATCTTCCTGGCCGAAGTGACAACCAGATCAAGAATCACTGGCACACCAGCCTGAAGCAACGCGCGAGGCAACGAATCAATAAGGAAGAGAAAGTGGACGAAACCGGGAAGAAGGAGGAGGAGGCGGTGAAGATTCCAGAAGGAGTTCAAGTAATGGAGAGCAGCTCTTCCATTAGCTCCACGTCAATGGCAGCAACTTCAGAGTCGAATAATGTGAGTGAGCCCGGTTCTATGTCAATGATCGCATCTTGGGCCGGGTTCACCGATGAGCTCGTGTCCGACGACGCGAGCTTCTTCGCCGATGTGTGGGAGGCGGAAGCAGCAGCCGCGGCGGCGGGAGTTTACTTCAGTGATGAGTTGGAGAGGGAGTGCTACGGAGTGTGGACAGAGTCACTGCTCGCAACTGATAATTACTACTGGCAAGAGCCCAGTAGCGACTTCTTCTCCAGTTTGGCAGAGGAAGAGCCTCAATCGCCATTGTTTAGCTGAAAGGCAGCGATCATTTCATCATTTGGAAGAGAGAAAAATATTTCTCTTCCTTCTTTCATTCCTTTTTCGTGTACCAAGTCCATTACAAGACAAACCCAGCTCAGATGGGTGAAACGAGCGAAGGGTAAAAAATGAAAGAGTGCAATAAGGCGGCGATCATTTCGTCATTTGCAGCGGACCTGGGCTCCAATTTTTGGTGATGCTGGAAAAAACTGTTGTTTCTTCCGCTTGTATCGTTGTTACTCCACACAAGTTGGAGGGCAGAGATTCAACACTTGCAGCCGAAGAGAAGAGTTTAAACTGGTTCTACCTAACAAGATGACAAATGACAATCAAGCTCTATATGCTTGATTTTTCGTGGACGGTAGGATCCTTAGCTATATAGTTTGTGTCAAGAACCAGTTGATTCCAATAACTCGAACTATTGGGAAATGTTCAATCGTGGATCATATACCGTTTACTAATACCCCCTTCAAACTCAAGCCATTCAGATAGGCTTGAAGTTTGGACATGCACAAGTACGGACACCATGTGCTTAACAGAAATAAATGGGGGTCACCGGGAATCGAACAGAAGATCTCACAGTCACACAAGGCTCTGATACCATGTCAAGAACCAGTTGATCCCAAAAACTCCAGCTGTTGAGAAAGGTTCAATCGTGGATCATATACCGTTTACTAATAGTTTGCACGCTGATTATCGCAGTAAAGAGAAACTGGTTTGGGATCGAATGAGGCACCTGAAATCATAAATGAGAGAAAGGATCCATTGAAACTCATAAGTCGTGTGAGCAAGAGCATGATACTCTACTTCACACGAATGAAGAGAAACAATGGATTCTTTCTTTGATTTCCATGAGACTAGGCAATTGTGAAGGAGGAGGCATTACCGGTAATTGATCGTAGAGTGTCTAGACAAGCCCCCAATCCGAGTCTCTAAAAGACTTCAAATCAAGAGAATATTGGGAAGGAAAGAAGAGACCATTATCAGGATGCTTTTTGATGTATCTGAAAATGAGACCAAGTGCCTTCTGGTGAGTAACAGTGGTTGACACATAAATTGTCTAATTTGAGTAGTTTATGCAACTTAAATTACTAGTGTGTTGTGTTTGTTCTGCAACACATATATCATAAATGAGTTTTCGAAGGTCGTATGAGATAAGTCAAAGGTAAGGTATTTTGTGCTTCGATCATGATTCAATCATGGTTCAACATTTTCATTCCTATAAAAACCAACTTGAGTTTCGATAGATAGTTTTTTCCAACCAAACTACTGATACGATATGGTTTACCAAACACGGTTCAAAACAATACATTCTTTTTGGTGTTTATGATATAACGTACCAAGTTACAATCATTCCAGTAGTTTAATTTAAAGGATAATTATGAAGGCATTCACCAATTTGGGGAACTTTGTTGGGTAGCTGACTTTTCAGATTAGCTAGCTAATCAAAAAGGGATCTTGAACTTATGATCTTGATTCTTGAGCATTGGGGTTAATCTGTACATTTCACGGGACGTTTCTTCTTTACGGTGCATTTATTCCTAAAGTCGATACCATATTTGCAAATGGTCCATCATTGCTGCGATTGGTAGGGCTCATGATAGCATATAGTCGATGACGACGTGAACCTTTCTCCTCGTGTCTTGGACGAAGTTCTGCCATTGCACAATGCTAGCCACAGCACATTCTGGCAGCCCTGCCAAGCGTATCTCCTGCACATGCCGAGGTACGGTGTTTCCTCGAGTCGACATCGCTGCTTTGTAAAGTTATGCCATAGCAAAAGCGCTAATAACTTCCCACCAACCCACCACCATGGAACAGACAACAATAGGGGTATCCCAATTTGCGAGTGGAAAGATAGTCTCTTTCTCTTAACAACCTAAAGATAGTTCCACGTTGTTGAGGAGTGTGATTGTCATTCGTACATAGTTTGCGCAGTCGGATGTAATTTGGTAAGACAACTTTCTCTCCTGGGTCATTGTCGAGGGTATTAAAGGCCCTGTAGCCAAAACCTAATTTGCCATTATAGCAGCCTTTTCTCTCTCTTTGGAATGGGAGTAGTTGCTAACCACTTAATGGGTTAGCACCATACTAACTAACCTAATAGCTACTAAATTAAAATAATGACGTAGAGTCAAAACTAATTGAAGGATAGTTTAGTAAATATCTCCACAAACCCTAATATAAATACTATATTTTCTTTTGTCAAACCCTATGCCGCCTATCTCCCACGTCTCTCTCTCCCTTTTCATCTATCACAAGATTCCGTCATGGCTCTGCCTCTTCTCTATCTCTGTCACTATTTCAGCTGAAGCTCTGTCTCATTTCTCTTCAACACCATTCCGGCCAATGAGAAATGAAGACAGTTGTGCTTGCTAGGGAAGAGGACAAATCGACGATGGAGGAGAAACGAAAAAAATGACGCTCACAGTCCACAGCGGAGGAGAAACGACAATGGCACTCGCTCGGGAAAAGAAGAAGCCGTTGGAGAAGATCTGCATCGCAGAGGTGGCCTCTCCCCCACAGGCGATACGAATGGATCCAATCAACTTGAGCGGAGGGCTGGCGGCAACGACTAGCAGCGACTTGATTGACTGAGTAATGATGTAATAGTGTTTTCTTGTTCGGAATTGTGTAGTAGGTGTGAGTATTAGAAATGGATAATCAGTAGTGTTTTCTTCTGTGAGTTTCTTGTTTGTAGTGTTTTTCTATCTAGTAGTAGCGATTGTGTAGTAATGATGTGAGTAATCTTTAGATGTAACGTGTTTGAGTTATTCTTCATATTAGTATTGATCATGTATTATGAATTTTCCAGTAGTGATTAATAGTGATTTTCATTTGTAAGTATTGATTTATGTTTCGATCTGTATTCATACTGTTAATGTAAAATTCCTAAATCACTACGGAAAATAATTAAACCTGTACAAGAAAATATTTACTACTATGTATGACCCACAATAACGCTACTAATTTAACTAGCAGTATTTTATACATTGAAATTTATAGTAATAAAAGTTAAATATTTTAAAACTTAATTAATATAATAAATTAAAATATTCAAAATACCTAATATGTCTCTGGTTAATTCCCACTGAGATACCATGAATGATAATTAGAGTAATTAGCATGGTGCTAACACTTATAAAGCTAGCACTCTAACTCTTCCCCTCTTCAGTGATAGTGAAAACCATATTTGAGAGTGTAGCTCGCTCTCTGTATACTAGTTCCGATATTTGGAGAAACCATGTTAATCATTGTGTTATTTACTTTTCGCAATCAGACGGTTACACATTTCTCCAATAAACTGTGTTAAGATCATGCTAGTAATCGCTGTTAGGTTAGGTTCATGGTATGGGCTTTGGCCATCCTTATGGTTATACCCAGATGGCATTTCTCTATCTCCAGAAACTGCAAATAAATCCTTGTTTCGCTTGACCGAGGTTACACATTTCATAGACTTTACATGACAGTGCGTGGTGATATCTTTCTCAATAGAGGATTGATGAATCTTATCTTTCATAGTGGTTTTGCAAACGACTATGTATGAGGCACCAAGCATAATATCAACAAATTCTAACAACGATACGAGCTCATGAAAATTTATTGTGGGTTCCGTTGTTACTTGTTATGATCTTGTAAGCGGGTCACTTAACCTTTGAGCATATATATGGAGACGAATCTATCATATTAACTCACTCCACATCTTTAAGGTTATGACTAGGAAAGAGCCCGCACTCTGTTGCGGCCCATGTGAAAAAATTGCCCGTGCCCATTATCGTATTTGTACGAAATGGATTTATATAAAATGATATAGAAGTTGTAACATGAATACATGATAATAATTTTACTTTTAAATTTTTTGTTGCCACTTACCAGCGCTTGTGCGGCTGATAAAAGTAAGTCACTAGTTCCTTATCAGGTTATTCGCACACTCTCTCTTAATTAGACTAAACCTATTCCCAAATTTCCCTTTCTCACTTCTCACCGCCATCAACCATCTATGAGATTATGAGAAACCCTCTGCTCCCTTTCCCATCGCCCATTTCTTCATCAGTCCTCATTCCATTTTTTCGACAAACAAACATAAACCCCCAAGATTGAAGGTGAGAAAACCAGAAAGTAGTCTTACATCACCAAACTTCTCGATTTTTACCATTCTAGTCTTGCATGTCTGATCTATATATGTTGGGGCTCGACTCTCGATCGTCCTTGTTTGGTATCGACAGGATATTCACCCATAAAAGCTTCTTCCTTTTGAGAGCTCTTGCCAGAACCGTAAGATCTCAATCTTCTAGATGTTCCCCTGCATGCAGATCTCTTCATCCATGACTGGGTTTAGTAGTGGGTTTTTTTATATCCTTTTCCTCGCAGTTCTTTCTTTGTACTACCATTTCCATCCATCGTGATTCTCAATTTATGGTATGGAACAAAGAGTCCATATTAAAGGGATGGAGTGCAATATAGTCAGCAGCTCCCGAATACCATTCATCATTGTCTCATCTTCCAAGTGCAGATGCTCCCTTCCTGCTTTCTGTTTTCTTGAAGAGTCGTTTAATTTCTTTTCTCTATTGTTAATGAGCTTCTAATGATTAGAATATAAGTGCAGACTAAAGCCCAATTCGTTAAGAAAATCAATCCATTAGAAGTCCAAAGCCAATGGGGTGAAACCCAACAGGAAGAATGCGAGTATAGCCCATGTGCACTCACGAAAATAAAATGAGATTGGACACACTAATTAATTAATCTTAGGCAACAGTAACCTCACTTTAGCTTTATATATATAAATATATAATAAATCACATACAAGTAATGTTAAATAAAAATAATATTTGAAGGCCTAAATGATTTATTACGTTGAAAATATTAGAATAACATATATCAAATTACAGAGACCAATGACTTGGATTTAGGGCACGTGCATGCTGTCAAGCTAATCATTGATATATAAAAATTTTGTGGACTGAGGAATTTTACAATGCTTTAAAGCATTGGTGATTTATTTTTTATGTTAATGGTACAACTTTAGGTTGTACACTTGTACCTATACTTTTTTGTGAAATCCATTTATGGTATAAACTAAAGTTGTACCTTTATGTTATGAAACAAATTGGTTGTACCACAAGTCACAACATAAATGTCAAAATCCC